CTATATGGATAAGAGATTGTGAGACTTCAATTGGGGTATAGGATAGACTTTAGTCCATAGGTGAAGGAGAGCTCTAGTGAAACCAGTCTGCTACATGAGGTGGTGCAGCAAAGCGAACATATTCCTGACTGTAGACTTTGTATATCAGACAATGCACCATACATTCTGACACATATATGGGCAGACGCGCACATTGTCATGGACCAGAATCTCATAAACCAAACGTCAGAATGTGACCGAAGCTGCATAAAGCTGCTTTTATTGGATTTCTCTTCTCACACTCTGTTAATTGTTTAGAATCTTTTGTTTAGTTCGCTATTGACTTTGTAAGAAGATGTAAATGAAAAGGCCACTAAACCTAACGTTCATTCCTACACCCATGAAGATCCAGGTTTCCTGAACTGTAACATGGTTGGCATTGTATGTCCATTAGCTGGCTGTTGGCAGGATTTCATCTCCTCAGCTGTTGTAAACCCGATCTGTTTTCTCTACACGATTATCATTTATTGGATTCTAGAAAAGAGGTGTTGTGTCAAATGATGGAAATCCATGTATGTAAATGTTTCTGGAAATTTTTAGCAAAAGATGTTTATCATATAAAGTGTCTATGTAAATATATATAATATAAATCCCAACCTGCATAAATCTATATTTCAGAGGACTATTATGGGTGATGTGGCCCTTTTAAAGGGGAGAGCTGGAAAAGGCACCTCGTTAGTGATTGTGAAATCCTGTTTAATGACAATCTTGCTGTAATGGAAAGTGGATGATTGGTTGTTCTGTTGCAGTGTTCCTCGTCTTGTATGCGTCTCAAAAACTAGCTGCCTCCTGAGCCCCATTGCAGACGGCCATGACCGCTGAATGTGGACGGGTGCCAGCACATCGTTGTTTGTTGTCACTACTTCTTCTGTATTTATTTTGTCTCTTTCACAATTTGACATTTCTTTCAATCAATGTTCAGTTAAGTTCCATGGCGGATGAGGGTTGTGTGAAGTCCGACATGGGCTGACCTTGAGATCCTTCCATAGATACCTGGACAAGGAGTCAGAATGCCAATAAGACTTCACATAGCCGTCAGTTCTTCTCTGGAAGTTTGAGGTAAGGGGTGCCTTCCTCTGGGAGTAAAGCAGAACTCCAGGTAAACCGCTAAATACACAGTTGAAGATATGAACACTGTTACCTTCCAAAGGATGCTAAATCTGTCCATTCAGTTGTGTATTTCATACACATTTGTCACACTGTGGGAAAGTCAGGGGACACATTTTCCTCTTCAGCTTTCCCCTCTCTTCCATCAGCTAGTAAGCAGGAAGGTGACGCAGGAGATTGTAAGCTGGTCCAGAGAAATCGGTGTCTTCACCTGGCTGGGCAGTGTGTTTTTTTTTTTTTTTTCCCATTCGGCCAATCTTCCGGTTTACAATCTATTTGACGAAGGAAACCATTCCTGTGTGTTTAGCTGTTGGCCTGCAGTTGCGCTTTAATTAGAAAAAGTTTAACCTGCGTCTTTAAACTGTTTGGCTAATATTTTTTAATGACAATGCGGATCTGTGAATCTATACAATTGAGTAGAATAAATATATTTGGCAATGAATGAACATTTTCCTCTGACCAGGTTATTGTGGAATACTTGCAGTTCATGATGAAGATTTGTACCCAATCTAAGAAAGACAACGTTTGCTTTGATTACTTTGCCGTCCATCTTGCATTTCTGCCCCATTAATGTGAGCGGACGGCTTCTCTGTTCTGTTTCTCTTCTAGCAATCAGTCTTGTGTGTTTTGTTGTCAAGGATTACAGTACATACATATATTGATGTCACATACCTAATGGTTACGTTACCTTTTATAAGCTAAGCTAGGCCACGTACATCCAAATACTGTTGTGTATATATTGGGGATTTTGTGTACAAAATGGACAAGAACTACCTACAGCCGTCTCCTGTGGGGATCCATGGAATCTTCCTTACCTGTCTCTTCCTTATAACGCACAGAACCATCCTGCATTGCCTTACCACTGCAGAGCTCTGTTCAGAACCAGGAGAAGTGCCTACATGGTAATGAGCAGACAACCAGAAGCCACCTATGGGGTGCATCAGTGTTTTTTCTTTAACTGTATTAAACATGGTGGTGCTGATTTATGACTTCTAGAGCAAGGAAAAGTGAAGCTGTTATCAAGTCCAGCCAGATTTCATATTAATGAATGTTTTGGGGTTCAGTTCCCCCCCTTAAACTTTTCTGTTAAGCTTAAGTGCAATGTACACGGCAAGCTTTTACTAAGCTTTCTGGAAGCTTCAGTCAGCTTTGTTAAAGCCTAACACCCTCCAGCTCTAGTTTGGGGGGGTAACCCAGATCTTGGGTGAGGGGACTGTTCTGTTAAACAAGCTGCTGGCAGGCTTTTGGTATGCTTTAGCACAGCTTGTACCTGGCCCCTTCTTTCTATGTGTGGTTTAAGGCTAGCTGCGTGGTCTAACAGGACACCCCCCTCCCCCAATGGCTGTCTGACCATGCAGCCATCAAGGAGGCCAATAATGAATGAGATTTGATTGACAGCCAGACAAATTCCCTCACTAGGAATGATGATATATGGAGGGAGTGTGGAGGGGGCAGGGGGTATGGGGGGTTCTGGTGGGTGTGGGGGGGAGGGTGGGGGGGGGGGGGGGGGGGGGGGGGCTGGGTGTCAAGTATTCTATGCTCCGCTAATTGACAGCAGATCACTGCTTACGGGCCTGTCTCCTACTTTGCCATTGATGTATGGTAGAAGGGACAGGCTGTCCAGGCCCACCCGCCAGCTATTCTGGGAAGGAGAGGCTAGTGTGGTAGCTGCTTTGTCTTGTTATGGGCTTCAGCACAAGCAGAAAGCAAATGACATATTTTAGCAAACCACTGCATAGATCTAAACCGAACCAAGTGCTTTGTGCACGGAGTCCCCCGGGGGGTTCAAGAAGGATTTTGACCTTCTGGTGATAATTCTTCTTTAAGATCTGTGATTAACTAGCTGGGGCTGAATAGTCTTTCAAAGGCCTCGTTCATATGGGTGTAAAGAGCTTCAAATTAAATTGCTTGCACATGTAAGACATGCTTGAAGTGCAAGGTAATGCTATGGGCATTTCACTTGTTTTTGGGTCTCCAACGGCCATGTGAACTTAGCCTAAAGCTGGCCATACACCTTACAATTATCTGCAGATTTTCTGTGGTCAGATGGAAAAGCTGCAACAGATTCCTCCATCTACGCTACACTGTGTGTATGGAGTCATCTCCACCTGGGCCAATCTGTTGCACTTTTTCCATCTGGCCACAGAAAATCTGCGGATAATTGTAAGGTGTATGGGCACCTTAAGGCTGCTTAAAGCCTTTTGAAAGCATTGTTAAAGCAACCCTGTTGCTACCTTTTAAGAAATGTAAAGAACTGAAATGGAAGACACTGGGGGGAGAGAAGGGTACTTGACACTCCTGGAAGTCAAATATTGAGGAAAGCTGCAGCACTGGAAGACAAGGAGTTTGGACTTTTTGGCCAACTGGGGAGGTATTCTGTGTTCTATTGCAGGGAAGCACCAGTCCCTTTAAAGCTGGCTGTACAGGCTGCTTATGCAAGTAAATGGCCATCTGTACAAGGCCTTAAGGGTAGATACTGGTATGTAGAATCCCCTCCGGCCTCATACCCGGCCATGGTTTTCTTCCAATCAAATACAAGCTGCATTCTCCACATGAGAATATGACCCCTGGCTATTGTTGGTGGTTGGAACCTCGCCATTCTTGAGCCCCTGAGAGATCTAAGAAACCAGTGAGTGACTTGGCCCACCCGCATCAATTCACAGCTGAAACCTCCGTTTTGGGTGGCTGGATCCTCTACAGCTTAGTTTGGTTGGTTTGGACATCTATGCCACTTTTCCTTTGTTTATAAGTAGACCCCAATGTCTGGACTTATTCCACAGTGTAAAGCTGCTCCCTGGGAACAGAAAACATTCGCTGCAGATGACTGTTGAACGTTGATCATTGTCATGAATGCAAGTTTGTAATATTGATCCTCTGTGGTGCATATACCCCACAATGTATCTGCGTCACAAACATGTCCAACATTTTGAAGTGCTGAAATTGAAAGCTTTATTTCACAGAGGCTTATAGGAAGTTTACAAACTATATCAATCTTAATATCATTAGTTGCATTTGCACTAAATGTGATGTACTTTTGCTATTCTGTAAATAAATGTATTACACTAAAGACCTGCGCGTGTGCGCGTCTCCCTACGTTTGTTGGTGGTTTTACTACTTCATGCCCAATTCTGGGTCCTGCACTTGCGGTATGGTAAGGCAAGGAGCGGAGCTGATGTCATCATGTCGGTACTGCTCTCTACATCACTCACCAATGGCAGAAGATCTTGAACGCAAGTGGACCCTGTGTGTCGCATGACTGCCCTGAAGACCGAAAAAGCTTAAAGTACACATGGGGAAGGCCAGAAGGGGGTAGTGGGTAGTTCTTTGGGGGGTGGAGTGTTCAGAGGCTAAGTTGTACCTCAGATGAATGCCCTGATCTTCACATGTATGGCCTAATGAAGGGTTCCTCTAGACCAGGGGTAGGCAACCATGGCTCTCCAGCTGTGCTGAAACTACAAATCCCATAAGGCATTGCAAGCCACAAGCATGTCTCCCAGAGGCAGAAGCATGATGGGATTTGTAGTTTCAGCACAGCTAGAGAGCCAAGGTTGCCTACGCCCACTCTAGACTGTCATTTCATAGGCTGCATAAATCTTGCCTTTATCAGCACACCCATCCCCCACTGGCTACATTTAGGATTTGTTGAGCCTTGCCAGCGGATGTGCACTTGGGTGGTTTTGTCAATCCAATCCACTGCCATTTATTCCTGTAGTGATTGTGACACCTTCTCTTACAATAAACTTTTGTGATGAAAGGAGATGTTATTTGGACAGCTGAGTATCACTCGGCCTCGGCTGTAGATCCTCAAATCATCTCTGAATTGGTGCTGACACTGTCCTTCCTTCTGGAGGGTGGCTCTCTGTTCCCCATGGCCATATGTGTGTTATATAGTAGTCACCTCTCCAAGCTCACTCCTGTGATGGACTACAAGCTCATGTTTAGTTTACTCCTTTTGTATTGAGATTGTAGTCCATCACAGGAGTGAGCTTGGAGCACACACAGGGACCATTATTATTATACAGGATGTATATAGTGCCAACAGTTTGCACAGAGCTTTACAATATAAGGAAGACATGACAATTACAAGACAGGATGGTAAGGAGGGCCCTCCCCCTGAGGGCTTGCAATCTAAAAGGAAGGGACAAATGATACATGAGGAGGGAGCTGTGTGGGGATGAATGTTTGAGAACGTGATGGTTGAGGTGGGATAGGCTTCCCTGAAGAGACGAGTCTTTAGGGATCGCCTAAAGGCCGTCTGAGACAGACGGACAGGTTGGGGTAAAGAGTTCCAGAGGATGGGAGAGACTACACAAGTCCTGGAGGCGAGCATGGGAAATGAAAGCAGAAGGACCGAGTTCATGACTTCAGAGATGATTTGAGGATCTGCAGCTCAGTGCTGAACAAACTACATTTTTGTTAATGGGGTACTTGAATGCGTTTTTAGGCTTTAACCTCTGAGTTTAGTGTCTCTTTAATTCCTGTCCCAGTGACATCAGGACAAAAAAATTAGGGGAGGGGTACACTGATATACAAAAACTGGGCAGAGGTTCTGACCTGCCCCGCCCCCATTCTATCAAAAACGAAATACTTTTTGCCTGGAATTGGGCTTTAGCATTTCAAGTTGTCATTGTTCTGCCCATATGAAAATGTCTCCAGGGGCTGCCAATACAGGCCTCCTCCTGGAGATGCTAGCTGCCTGGCTCACCCAGGACAAGCATGCAGGTCAGAAAGAGTTAGGTCAGAGCACCCTTGTTTCAGGTTTGTGACTCATGAAGTACTGAAGTCAGAGGATCAGCATAACAGCCAAGAGGCAACTAGTATTTTCCGATGTGTCATGGCAGACTCCATATTGCCTCAGTGCAGTTTTCCTTTAGAGTGTTTATAGAGAATAAAGAGTTAAAACTCCAATCTAATTTTGTTGCTTGTGTTCCGATGGGGACACTTCCCTTCACTTCCTGTCTTAGAGATGCAACAGGAAATAAGGAAACTTCTCCAAATGGAACTGAATTCCCCCTCTGACAGTTGTTCCTGGAACAGATTTTCTCCTCACATCTTGCTCTGGTGATCGCTCACAAGTGTTAGATGTCCCATTACTTTCTGTCTAACAATGGTCCCCAGGACACAGGGGGTGAATCTTCCCACTGGAATGCTGACACACTAATAAACTTGACATTGTGTTTAACCCTTTCCCACTATATCCAAAACAAAGGAGTGCAGGATTTGAGGTGGTCATCCCCATCCTTGCTGAATCAATGACCCAGAACCTGGGTGTGCAGCTCAGTTTTTAGGAAATGCTGTGCTCATATCTATATTGTTTCAGGTTAATAAACATTATGACGTGTTCTGGGTGGAGTCTGGCTTCCGTACTAAAAATACAAATTCTTCTAGCTGAACTCCAGGATAACAATATATTGTTTAAATACAAGAGTCCTGCGTATTCTTCCTTGAATTGTGGTGTGCTTTGTGTATTTCTTCCAGATCTGTGCCGGATCTTCCTGTAATAAAGACCGGTCATTGCTGCTTCTCTCTCATTGTGCAGAGTGACTGGTCTCTTATCCACTCCCCTCCTGTAGTTTTCTGCACCTAGCCTGTAGTGGGTGGAGCCTCCTACAGCTGTGCGCAACACACACTGTATTTATACCCTTTGCGGCTATTGAATATAGTCAGATGAAACTTTTGGTACCTGGAGTCCATCTTTAAAATTAAAACATAGTGCTGTACTACCGTATAGTCTCCAGCACATGCGCTCTGTTTTGTGTCTGTTTACAGTTCCCATCACCTGGCACACACCATAGACAGGCAGGTAATAATGGCAGCATTTTTATTGGTTTCACATACTCTGGGCTATCTAGATTGCAGTTAACCCCCCTTATGCCCTCCCTCTGGTCTCCTGCGTCCTTCAGCTCAGGCAGAGACTATCCTGGGGGCCAGCCCATCTGCCGTCCGCCAATCACATGCAGGTGAAGGTGATATACAGACTGCGCCCCCTGCTTCCCATCATTGATCACTGCAAGAGAGAGAGAGTCAATAATTGGCAATATGAGAGACACGAATTAGGGTGGGACAGGGGCTATGAGAGGGCAGAGACACGGGGACAGGTAGAAGGTCTTCAAGCAGGTCACATATATACTATCCTCCAAGCTGTGCCAGTGAGTCTATTAGAGGTTCCCAGCAGGTCATACCAGGGCTGCACGGCAGTGGTGTGTTACCGGGTCAATTCTTACGGCGGGCTTACCAAACACGAGCAGAGAGCCCAAGGTGATGATCAACAACATAAACAGAGTTTTTAATGCCGTCTGTGTCTTCGTTTGGGAGAATTTCCCACCTGACCTGTTTTTTTCCCCACCAAGATAAACGAATCTGAGGATTTAACCCCTCCCACTCTCCATTCCACCCAAACTAGAAGAAAAATAAGCTTTTGGCTAAATAACAGCCTCTGAATCCTCTACAGAGGGATCTGCACCAGTGTGACGGCTTCTCTTCCTAACTACATTGTGAGATGTGGGAGGTGATCCTATATTTCTTCTTCTACGGCCTTCATATCAGTTTATTGTTTCATTTCCATTATTTTGTCAACCGCATTATTCTACATAAACAGGTCTGTATCCTCATCCCCTTCCAAACCACCCAAGTAAGCCCACTGGCCACTCCTGCCCTGCCATGTTCAGCACTCACCAATCCTGTAGCCGTCAGTCAGCCCCTCTTTGTGTGCTAGGTGGCTGGCTGTGACCAGCAGGTGACCCAGGAGCTGTGGAGAAAAGACAGAACAGTCATAACATACGGCCAGGTTGACTTCTCTGTGATGACTACTTCTGCAGTATCACAAGGTGTGGCTGGTGAATGTAACCAGGACCAGTCACCACATCAAGCAATTCAAATCCACCTTTTATTTCCTGGGAAAGACAAAGGAGAATTTGGATTACTAGGAGTCATTTCTATGGGCAGCAGTTCCAAGGTGGTTTTCCCTACTGAAGTTTTGATAAATCAGCAATTATCTACGTCATGTAACAAAGCAGCATGACGTGCAGTGTGTACAAACCGACCCTCTCTGTGTTACCTGTGTGTCTTCTGCTGTCACTTCACTTATCCTGGCGATCGGTTTCCTGGGGATGACGAGGAAATGTAGAGGACCCTGTGGGGACACATCCCGGAATGCCACACACTGCAAGAGAGAAAGCAGTCTGTCAGTGGCTGGAGCACATCCACCAATGTCCTGCGACAGTCTGTTCCCCGTTACCTGCTCATCCTCATAGATGATATCTGCTGGGATGGATCGCTCGATGATCCGGGAGAAAATAGTAGCCGATTTACTCTGTGCTTTCTGGGCTTTCTGCACCTCGTCACTGCAAATTCCATCACTGGCGCAATATGGACGCTAACCAGAGAGAGTAAAAACAGGCAGTCAGAAGACATCCCACAGAGTGCAGCAAAGTGTTACCTGAATTCACCGTCAGTCGGTGTCTGTACAGAGGAAGAACAGAGGTCTTTTATACACAGAGGGGGGAACTTATCAAAACTGGAGCAAACAGAATCTAAGGCAATTGCCCATGGCAACCAATCACCATCTCTCCTCAGTTTGCTCAGGTCAGATTTGAAAATGAGAGATAGAAGCTGATTGGTTGTAGTGCAAATCTGCTCCAGTTTTGATAAATTCCCCCCAGAGTGAATGTTGGCAGTTCCTTATGAATAAGCCAAACTTCATGCCAAGGGCGGAGGTGGCCTCCAAGAACCCCACTTTCCTCCTCAATTTTTCAAACTGACTTTTGTCAAAGGGACCAGCTCGAACAGTGCCTGCATCCAAGCAGATCCGGCCAATAAAACCAATCAGTCCAGGTAAACAGCAGTTGCTGAATCCAATAGCCAGCAGTGGGAGATTCCTCCAGCCATGGTGTATAGAGGGATCTGTAGACTGAACAATACAATTAAATAGTGTACTGCCAGATTTACTGGCCATTGTGTGGCCAATCCTCCTCTCTGTCAGTGTCCTGCCTACCCGGGAAGCTGACTCTCCATTGTTGCTCTTTATCTGGAAAGGTTGGAGGACGGACACTTGCATCATCTCCATCTACTGTGATCAGCAGATCTCGCTAATGCTGGCTACAGACCTTACAACCATCGCAAGACTTTTGTCAGAGTGCGCTTTCAAGTCATGGTTAAGCCACACCCCACATCCCACAATGCAGTGCAGGTCTCTCAATCCCTGGATATGGATCCCCAGATTGAAGATGAAGTTTGTATCAGTCCTTCGTGCTCTCCACCTTCATTCGATGGCAACCAGTGCTGGAATTCTATTTTAGCTGGTGTGTAGGAGATGATGGGAATGTAGTAGGAAGGGTTAAAGTGTTACATACATGTGTATAAAGCAGATGGACATTTTAGTATATCGCTGGCTAGGTGAGGTCAAAGTGTGGTCAGTTATTATGAATGATCTCACCTGTTGCCGATATCTCAGATTACTGGCCAGAGAAGAACGGAAAGTCCCAGCGCATCTCACTGCCAGGCTGGCGTACAGGACCCGCAACAGCTGCTGGCCAGGCATCACTAGGAGAGAAGATCAGGCATTACTGCGGAGCACAGGGGCTGGAATCTGCTAACAGTAGAGCTCCAGTCATTGAAAAATCACCATTTAGTTTTATGTCCTGAAAAAAAAAAAGACGGGTCAGCACGTCTGACGGCTTCAAATGTCATTTTATTTCACATATGAGAAAACACCTCAGCAAAAAAAAACAGTTCATGCTAAAGTATGTGCTTCACCTTAAGAAGATCTTGTTCAAGATATATATACATGATACACCTCATATAACACCATAGGCCACATACAGACTGCGGGGAAGTTGTATAATACATGGGATGCAGGTCATATATATTTGTGCAGTTGTACTTAGTAGTGCAAAGTATGCTATTAGAGGAGATTATATATATATATATATATA